TTTCAATTGCAATCCTGTTGCTGCAGTGATCCTGTAGTACAAGTACCAGGGATAAGCTGCTTACAAATTTTCCATGTCTCTCATAACAGATATTAAAGCATAACAAACAAAGATGATCAAAGAGCCTGAGCTGACACCAGAAAATTCCCGTTTTCAGCCTAAAACACAGATTTATCCTTACTTGTCTGCTCATTGGGAAGATGGTGATGCAGGAGATGAAAAAAGCAGTTCTCCACACAACACTGTAGGCAACTTTTTTTCAGGTGTGGTCTCACCAAACTACTGCTATGAATGTGCTATCCCACATATGCATGCTTCTGGGGATTGACAGGGAAACTGTGGGAATCATGACTCTTTGTTTTGAAACCAGGTCAAAAGAGGTCAGCGACAATGAGTTGTCTGAGGCCAAAGAGTGGTGGGATTTTTGGTAGGAAATTCTTTACATGGCCTCAAGTGTGCTTAAAATACACGGCCCCTCAGACAAACTGGATAAACTGCCAATTTGGTCTCCTCTCAGGCCATGGGACTAAGTGGTAAATGAACAGGAGCATCAGCTCGTGCCAGAGGGAGCTCAGCCTGCAGGGGTCACGCAGGGGGCTGCATGGAGCCCTTTAGGCCTGGCAAGGACAGCTCGAGGGGCAGTGATCTGTGGCTGTGATCTGAGCTGCACCACAGGCGAGCATGCAGACAGACACCGGCACCACACAAGTGGCCACTCGGTACGACTGCAAAGATGAGAACTTCCTTCTTAGCTGCCTGAGCCAATAGGTAGTTACAAATTTTGCTTTTTAATCCTGAACACATGACAGACTAGACCCATCACAAACCCTTAAAGATCACAGGAAGTCAACAATGTTGCCCATTAGGGCTCAGATACGGCTGTACTGTGACTACGCAAAAGATGATCTCCATGTAAACCAGGTATTTCTGCAATCATAAATTCCATCACTAAAACTAAAAGAAGTCTGTAATAAAATTAAACACCCAGGTATCTAAATGCTCTGTAACACAGAGCTACCTATGCCCTTCAGCAAAGATGTTTAACATATGGATCGACATGTTTTTCCAGACCAAAAGAACAGGAATTTAGGTTAATTTAATAGAAAAAATAAAATATGGAATAACATTGATTTTGGCCAATATCAATTACAACAGAACTACCCTGTTATTTTACAAATAACAACTGAACATTTTACACATGTACAGTATTTTTTTCAGTAAAAATGGATTTCGTTATAACAATGTCAGTTTTTTTAAAGAAAACAAAGTTATTAATTTCTTCTCTATAATAGTGTTAGAGACATTTGTAAGTATCCAAACAGATTCTTTACAATCCATTACATAATTAAATCTCAATAGTGAATATATATTTATATATAACATATATAATATTAACTTAAACTTTGAAAGCATTATGTTCTATTTAAACACGCTATACTGAGAAATGAGGCAGTAACTGACTAGTAGTTAAACTAGCACAAATTTGAATGTTTATCAAGAAATTTGTAATGGGCACCAAAGGAGCTTGACTGCACTCTTTTATACTGAATCTGGCTATAATAGTTTATCTGCTCTCTGCTAAAGAGGACATTACCTCTAAAGGTTTGAATTTCTTTCTTTGTAGAACATCCACAGTCATTTTTGATCCCCTTTATTTTCCAGGATTTACATGCTTAAACAGCTGAAATCCATTTCCTTTTTGTGTGTCCTGGAAAGCTAACTGAGAAAGACACTTTGCATGTTTTAAGTATTATCCCCAGTAAACAGTATCTTTGAAGTTCAATTTTCTGTTTTCTGTGAAATGACTGTCTTTTGAACAGTATGCTGGGTGAAGCTGAAGAAGACAAATTAAACAGAAATTCGTACTGGCAGCCATGTGCCTGGGTAGAAAAAGAGCGAGGCTGGGGGCCACCTCTCTTATCCCTCAGGACCATTTTACAGTGAGGTAACTCCATTGGCCTTAGCAGGACTATTCCTGCTGAAATTTCTATTGTGAGCAGTTAAAAGCAGATTCAGGCCCATCACGGCACCAAGAGAACCACCGATTTATTGCCCTATATGCTTTTTTTCCTGGAGGTGTATTTGGCACAATTATAAATCCAGTCCTGTAAACACATCCTGTCGTATATAGTCACACTGGCATTTACATATGGGCACTATGAAATAGTTCCACATATCTGTATGATAATATCCCCTTTTTAAATGAACATTACAAGACAACAATAATTTATGAATACTTCTTACATGTTAGCAATGTTTTCTGACTTCTGAGCATATACATTACTCTCACTTATGCAAATCAAGAGAAGTAGTATATTCTAAATTTGTCCACTACAGGAACAATGGGTTTCTTATGTTTATTTGAAATAGCTTTGACAATTTAAAAAAATAAAATAAAAATCCTAGCATATCTGTTAATAAGCCACCTGTCTAAAAATGAAATCTATATGACCAAAACCACATTTTGGGCAAACATATATACATATCGCATGTGATACAAAAAATAGCATACAGCAGAGGAAGTAAGAAAGAAATGTGTGCAGAAATGTTCACTTTCCATTTTTTAAAATAGTGTTACAAAAGGGGCAGAACTTAGTCCTGCACTAATGATGTTTCTGATCCCCTCAGGAACTCAAGTTCCCCCTGTCAATACATACAGCACAAAAAAAGACTAATGCAATCTTTTTTGTATTGTTTAGTTTTAATCCATGTAAACTTGTGTTGTACTCTTGAAACACTCTTTAAACATCTTGAAGTGGAAAGAAACAGGAAAGAAGGGAAGAAAAAGAACCTTCAAAAAACAGGAATAATCCTAAGGTTGACAGGAAATCAAATCAAGAGTTAAATGTTAATTTTGGCATCAAATGCTTTGGTCACACAATACTGACTCTGTGATCCTGGATGCTCAGCTCTAGACACCCAGTTATGAAAGGTAGGCGTGTTGTAGTTTTTCCATTTAAGTCCCAACAAACAGTTCACCATCTCCCCAGACAAAGAGAGGGGAGAGGGAGAAAGGTGGCTTGCTTTCTTTTTCTTTTTTTTTTTTTTTTTTTTTTTTTTTTTTTTTTTTTTTTCCTTTTTCAGTAATATGGATTAATCTGTAAGTCTACAGGAGGAGGAGGATGCTGGGAGGTGTCAGTTCACCCCTTTTGTTTACATGTTCTGCAACACAATTGCTGAAGCACTTTCCTCTGGCAGAGATTGTTCTTTTTCACCAGCATACAGAATCCTCCCTCGGCCCAGGACTCTTCCGTGGCTTCCAGAGGGTAGCAGCAAGAGAAGGAGGGGAGGTTGAAGGTTTGGAGAGCACGATGTGTACAATGGAGGAAGGTTTAATTGGTCAGACATTCAGATTTGGTTGAAGAGACCATTCAGGAGCAGGTAGCAAGTAGGAAATTTGGTCCATCAAAAGGTATTTCAGTCAACAGCATTTTTTTTTTATTTTTTTTTTTTCAGGAAGAGATATTGTGTGGTCCAACAGGGAATGATTGGTATCCATTTATGAAAAGGAAAAAAAGATTAGAAAGAGAATAATTAGAATACAGTGATATTTACAGCAAAGGAATTTGCTCTCAATTTTTATGAATTAAAAGAATAAAACAATCAAACCACAGAAAAAGAGTAAAACATTCTCAACAGAAATGCAAATCCTGTAGAATGAGTTGATTGTAAGGCATTGAAATGAGACCCTCTGTGCTTTTTTAAATTAACAGAAAAGAAGCCCCAAAACCCTCCAGAACTTTCCTTGTTATTTCAGACTTCTGAGAACACAGGCTATGTGGTGTGACCCAGCATGGTGCATTGCAACTGCCTGAAGACCTGCATATCCATGTGCTCCCTTTCCATGAGAGCTGCATTTGGAATAATGGTGGTGACAGTACTGAGATGGGGTGTCCTCACCCTCGGGAACTACAGCGTATGTGATTGAGGCTGCACAGGTACAAATGAAGATGGATTTATCCAGCCACATTAAAGACCAAACTGGCATCTCAAATGTTTGCATTGCAGAAATCAATTGCAATACCATATTAACATTACACTTCTCAATTTGTCTATTTATATATGTCTTCTTCTGGACTTTCTTTAGACAATAACTCTTCCAATGTCCAGACATGAAACTGGCTCGTGACCAGTTTACCAATATCTGCAAAGTAACTTTACAATAAACAGGGTACTTTTCTAAGTTTGGAAGCCTGTATTCCAACAGGAAGTACAAAGGTCCACAGAAACAAGACTTGCACCTGTGCTCTTTCTTTTTGAAGTCTTATTTTACTCTTAGTAAATCCAGTGGAAATAAGCTAGACCCAGGATTCACTGTTAGCTTTTAGTATATCTGATGCCAGGTATCTTCCTAGATATGATCTTCCTGTTGGATTGCACTTGTTGGGCTCTATTTACAAGTAATTAATGTGGTAACATTTTAGGGAAGCACAATGTTATCTAAGCCTCCCTTTAACTGTGACATTTCAAAAGGAATTAATATTAGTGCATAATTAAGCCAATCATATGCAGTAAGGCAACTATCTTGGTTGCCACAGAGAATTTGGAGGAAGTTCAAATCTCCACCCTAAACTGCACATTCCCTGTTTCAGAATCCCTTTTTTCTCACTACCCTTTCACACAAGTCAAGCAATCCTGCAGGTGCTTTAAATTGTTTTTACTTACCAGCATTTTCACCATTTAAAGTGGTGAGATAGACAACTGTAATTCTATTAATAGTACTCTAAAGTCTTCATATAAAAATCTGTTGAAAGCAACGGCTTTTGAACAAATGCTAAGGAAGGAAAAGTAGGTTGTTGGCAAGGGGAAAGATTATTTTAGGAAAATTCAGGTAAAGTGGATGTGACTAATCTTGCTAACACATGCAAATGTAAATTTCTCCTTTTCATACACCTGAAAAAATTCTTACTTAAGAAGAAAAGCAGGTCAAACCAACCCAATACAAGTAAAAGAAGAAGGTGTCAGTGATAAAATGGATCTTTTCAGAGACTTGCACTCACCATCCTTGCATACTGTTCCAATGACACAGACACCAGTGTCTAGGTTATAGCCACTTGGACAGCTCGTACAGTTTCTGTCTCCTTGGCCACTGCAATCCAAACAGCTGGCATCACATCTGAAAAACAATGGCAGGAGTTGGTCTTCCAGTCTCACCAAATATAACTTCCTAGGAGATCTCTTTTGTATTGCAAAGGACTTGTTCTTTCTAGAGGTACAAGGTACTATAATATTAATAATTATGATAGTAAATAATTGACTACCCCTGTAACTTCTTTTCTATGGAGACCCAAAGTGACTAAGATCCTCATCCTTTGACCCTGGAAAGGAGATAGTAAGTAATACCTCTTGAGGCTGGGGTGAGAGAAGCTTTTCTCCCACAGGTCTTTGCTGTTGAATATTAATCCTTTTGGGTTCAGGTGTTCTATTTGTTTCCCAAGTTTATGTCACCCTGTTCAGCACCCATTTACCTTTTATGTATTCCTTCCAGAATGTCTTGGACCCTCATTGACCCTATTTTGGTGCATTACTCTGCCCTGTAAATCCCCATTGGTTGTCCCTGTCCCTAACCCCTCCTATGCACCACTTTTACCTGTTCCCATTGGATCCTAGCCCTCTGAACTACCCCCTTATATCTCACATATAATCCTGGACTCTCAGCCTATCCTTGTTCTTGTCCCTGGACCCCCTTCCAGGCAAGAAAACTTTTGGATACCCAAACAAGAACCCATGTCCATGACATCCTTCCTTGATAGCTTTCTAGGGGCACCTTGCCCCAGACCCGAACGCGCAGGCAGCCTTAGGGACCTGGTCATAGTGTGGTGCTACACTTTCCATCAACAAATTTCTGTTCCAGAGTTTTTGCTACACAGCTGCCTTATTCTAGTGCATTGGAACTATGCATAAATAATCAGCAAAATATCAAGCTGATGCTGCATACATGTGCCAGGAAGGCATGAACTGAAGCTACAGCATAGAAATGACTGATGTGATGCCCAGTCCCTTCATCACCCATTTCGCTCCATTGTCTTTTCATTATGTACGGATTGTCTTTTAATGTGGAATATATTGAAACACATGGTGATTACCTTCCTGCCCTGAACTTAGATCTGAGTCAATAATAAATTATTCCAAAGAGCAAAAAAAGGTATTTAATGAAGTACGGAGTAGAAAAAATGTTCCTTCCTGCAAAGCACAGCTTTGGCCAAGATTTATCCAGCCGTTTGTGCACTTGAGTCAGGTAAGCTATTCTGGACAGTAGTTTAGAATATACCTGTGATATGTTTGTGAGTATGCAATGCAAGAACTGAAATGGTCTTTATAAATAATAATTAGCTTGAAATGAAAAAACCCACAGTTTGATTATTTTTGTTCGCTAGTAAGAAATGCAGATCCTCTGTCAGATTTGTAAATTTTATGCTTCTATGAAAATCTACTTACACCCTTACTACAGGCTGTTTTAAAGTGAAGGTCACACACATATACCAGAAAAAATACCTGTGTTAATATAAATATACTACTACTACTACTACTACTACTACTACTACTACTACTACTACTACTACTACTACTAATTTCCTTCATTTAGTTAGCATTAAGTCATTTTGGGATGTTTTGAAGTCAATAGCATTTTATCTTCTAATAAGTATGATCATTTCCAATACAGTAATAGCTAATATACTGCCAGATATCAGATATATCATCTGCTGATCTTACCTTTTGCAGGTTTTGTATCCACTTTCAGTGGAGTGATCAAGGTAATAACCACTACTACAGGACTGCACGCATCTTCCATCTTCCATAAAGTAACCCTGTGTGCAGTTTATACAGGCATCTACTCCAGCACCTTAGTCCAAAGAGAAATTGTCAGAGATAGGTACATTGTTAAAATAAACAATTACATCATTTCAGTCTAACTTTTTCTGAAATAAATGACTGCAGTTCTATATCTCCCATGAAATCTACTAGTCATTATTCCATCCCTGGAAGAAAGTAGAAGGCATTACTGGAAATCATAATAAGTTCTACTAAAATTAAAACAGAAAAAAAAAAAAAGGAAGACTATATAAACTTGCAATTAAAAGCCTAGATTTCTACACTAGCGGAAAGGAGTTTTCCATATTTAAAATGTAATTAAAGACTACTAAGAGAATGAAAGATTCACATGTAAACAATCACGTTATACTGTTCCTGTGATATAGTGGAATAAAATCAGAGGTGAAATCATGCAGGAATTAAAATTATCCTGACGAATGTCAGTGTGGTACCTGCACACGTTGCACAGGAACGGTGGCAAGGTTCACACTCTCTGCCATTATGGTATTTTCCCTCTTCACAGCGGATAGCACATCTGGTGCCATGCAAACTATGGTAAAAAGGAAAAAAAAAACACAGGGCAGATAATGGCAACAGAGGAGAACAAGATCATGCACAATCCAGTAATTCTCTTTCAATCAAAGTACAACCCATATATTACAATTCATCAGCTTCCTCCACTGGCCATGTTTCATAAATTTAGATACACCAATCACTTAAAGAGGGAATGCAAAACAGTTTTGCCTGTGGTGAAGTAAAGAAACTGTTTACGAATTCTTTGTAAATACTACCAAGTAATAGGGGACAGACAAAAAATTAACAATGACAAGCAGCACTAGAAATTCAGGCATGTAAAATGCAATTATCCACGAGGAATTTGGCACAGGGTCAGCATTAAAAAAAATACTAAGGGACTTGTTAACTGAATGTCAGTTCTGTGTGGCTTGTGAGATTTGTTGAGATTACAGATGGAGGTATTCTGCCTGCAGGCACTTTCGTGAGAGTAGAAAAATGTGAGTAACCATGGAAAATAAATAGCATAAAGAGTCATATTTTCATATATTCCTTGAAGTGGCTGTTTATTGCTTTCATGTTTTATGGTGCCTATAGCAGTTTGTTGTGGTTTGGGTTTGGTTTGCTTGCTTGAAATTAATTTTTTTACCCTAGGACTTCTCTGCTATGTTTACCATCTTCTGCAGAACCTCAGGATTCATCCAATTTAACACTTTCTCTAAAAATGCTCATCAGCTCTGGGGTTTCCCACTCTGAGTGCTAACCATGTTTTTACAGATTGGATAAGCAACAGCCAGCTAAGTTCAGCACCATGGAAAATTTTCAAGAGTGTATTCAGTCCCAGTTTAGAAAATAAACTAGCAATTCAACAAAACTTTACAATCCCTGCTTTTTCTCCTGCTTTTTGTCAGTGACACACTTCAAAGAGCTTTACAATAGCATTATCATGTTTTTAAAGATGGGAAGATAATTTGCCCAAGTTTATTTAATGGGCCAATAATGGAGCAGATCTGGAATCCAGGTCTCTCAAGACCCACTCAAGGAATGTCCTGCTCATTGATACCTCTACCAAGAAAATCCAGAAAGTATGGAACAACTATGGAATATGAAATTCATGTCCCATCCCAAAAGGCTCCATTTATCTGATATACACACACATATTTTTAAAAATGCTACCAAAAATGATTCTCCATTTTATAGAACTGCCCAAGAAAACATGATGGTTAGGTTTTTCTTAAAAAAAATTAATATTTCAATTTCAATAGGGGAATCCAGCTGTTGATGTTCTAGAAGCAAACATTCAGCTTTTACTAATTAATTAATTAATTAATTTTAAGGAGATTAAAATCCACTTTAATGGAACCTCACGAACCACACGAAACCTCAGTGTTAAAACATTTACACAATACTTGTATTCAAAAGAATACCTACAGATACTGAATACTGACTTCATACTTTTGTGTGGCACTAAGCCAGCATACAGTCTGTCATGAATATTGTAAGATTTTTTACCTTTGCTATTTTAGTATCAAAAGGAGCTTGAAATATGTACTGCTGCTTTTTATCTTTTACCTATCATTTTCAAGAATAATTAAGTTCCCCACTGAAGGAAAAAATATCCCCTGCTGTTTAAAATATATGATCACTATGCTGTTATAGAATTGAGCCTCGTGTACTTGAGGTAACTGAATGACTGGATACCTGAAGAAATATAATAAAGATAAGAAAACAATTTCTTACTATGAAATGGATGAATCAGAAAGATTAATACCATTCATTAGCTCTACTTCTTAAACAATCCTTGACTGACATACTGTAGGTCAAAAATTGATGAAGCCAGCTTTCCACATGACTTTTTCGTTACCAGAAATAAAAGGCCTTCTAAAAATCTGTTGTCAGCCAAATTGGCACATGGGATCAATATGACAGACTAAACAGAATTGGAACATATGAAATGAGGGTCAGGCAAGGTTAAATAGATATCTGATGTTCTTCATTGTGTATCTACAGCCCTATCTTCAGATACTATGTTTAGAGATATACATAATTTCCTTACCTTAGGCCATGTCTGCATTCTGTGCAGATTTGGAATTCAACACAGGTCTTGCAGTTTTCACTACATTTTCGACAAACAATCTTATCTACAAGAGAAAAAAATAAATCAGCCCAGAAAACCTTCTTCAGTTTTGTTTGATAAAATTGTATGAATATATTATTGCATGACTTACTGCCTTCTAGTTTGACATCAACATCAACATCAAGCTAGACTACAGCAGCACAATTCTGCCTATCATTAGCTTTTTCCATCAAATATAAAATGGTTTACAATATTTTCATTTGAAGTTGTAGTTGCACCCTGAGAAAAATATGTTTTGAGGCCATTAAAAAATTTTCATAAACACTTAAAATTTACATTCATTATTTATAACATGGACTTAAGTCACCTTCTCATATAGCAGTGACATGCACTAATGATTGCCATGTGTTCTGGACACTGTCCTGCAGTCTTACCCTTTCCATGCAAGCAGGCTGTCCTGTCTTCCTGACTGGGTGCTAAAAGACACACCTGCATGAACAGATCTGATCTTGACAAAGTAAATACATAAATTACTTAACAATTGTCTTTTTGTCTCTAGAGATCCCTTCTTTAAGAAATGTCTCTCTCTCTCTTCAGACCTACTGTCCTTTGACATGCAGTGACACATACCCTTCCGAGAAGAAAAACTTAATTTTCCTATTTAATCCTAAATTTTCATCTATCCATCTTAATTTGTATGGAAAAAAAAGTTCTCTTTACTGTAGTTCTCACACAGTGAAAATGGAAGAATTAAGGTAGGACCTGTTTTTACTGCTTCTCAAAATCAAACACAGAGCTTCATGCTGGAGAAAGCAGATCAGGTACCTAGATGAACAATGCTCCTGAGAACATATTTATCTTCTACAGAGTGCCTAAAGGTAACAAAAGTCACTGGAGTTTTCAGCACATTTGTATATATGTCGAAGTATTTTTGTTAGCCAAAGCTGAAAATTAAACACGGACAGTCTACTTGGCAATCACAGGAGGAAGCTGAAGGCAGGTACCTATCACGGCTGAGGATTAATGCTCTTGGGCAGTCACATCACTCTGGAGGTGCTTAGGTCTTCCAGAAACATTATTTGCAACCATGTTACATCTGAAGAGCCTGTTTTCCCTAAAGCTCTGGTTCACTGCCCACCGCCAGTGTCTCAGCTTTCACTTCTGGTGTCATATAATCTGGCTGGATAGGGAATCACGGTCACAAGGGGTGCTGTCTGTCCTTTTCCCAAATAGTGATAACCTTTTCTGTCCTTCAGCTGACTTGCTCTTGAACTGCCCTGCTACTGTTACTCCCAGGTACTCCCAGCTGAAAAGACATCCTGCAGTAAGTATGGTTTTTAAAATAAAGGAAGATTATTCAGGACACTCTTGATCACACTCGGCAACAATTTAATAAAAAGAATAGGATAAGAGATCAACATACACTTTTCCTGCTCATAGGCATTCCAGCAACCTCCCCAGATCAAATTCTGTAGCCCGCAATACAAAACCAACAAGAAATACTAACTCTTATCCAGGTAAAACCCATCAGGGCAGTTGGTAATACAGCTATTGGTTACTTCATTCAGGTAGTAGCCAGATTTACAGGTCATGCACTGGTCATTATGGCCTCCAACACAGGTTTCACAATTGGGTGAGCATTTTTTACATCGTTTCTTGTCTGCATTGTAGTGACCAGGTGGGCAGGTCGAAACACAGATCCTGCAGACAGCAGGGAAGAGAAGGCAGAATTGTTAATGAAATCACCTGCCACCACACTCCTGGACCATGACTGCAAAGCAGAAGTATTTCTCAGCATCGTTGCTTTTCTGATGATCATGTGTTTACTAACATAACCCTTCAAAGCACTGCATCAAGCTCTCTTGCAATTATGTCCCTATACATGCTATCTCACTAGCAAACGTGTTGTCAGACAGTCTACAGTATAATTTTTGACCATCTACATTTCTTCCTGTCTTGTTCATTAAATCATATCAGCTGTAGTAACTATGGGAATCTATAAATACGCATATATATAGACAGAGAGAGAAAGCTTCTTATGGAAAAAAATAAACAGTGGGGATATAATCAGAGAAGGGTTTTTTTTTAAGCTGTATTTTAAATTCTGATTAGGTAGGGTTTAGGGTTTTTTTAACGCCAAAGAAAATTTTTCAAAATCAGGGGAAAATGAATTATCCATGACTGCATTGAAGAGAAGAGGGAAGAAACTTAAGATATATACTAAGACATCAATGAAGTTAAGTTTTTATCTCTTTCTCTTACCTTGTGTTGTTTTTAGATTTGTAGTAATAGTGCAGACAGTCAGTACAATGATCTGGTCCTGGCCCATCACACCCTACTTTACTGCATTCTGCATTGCAGGGACCTGTAATATTAAAAAAGTACAGAGGGACAAAGGGATTAAAACTTCTCATTTAAGGGACACCGTAAAACACAGTATTATTTTATTGCAGAATGCAATTACTCTGTTTCCCTGTGTCGAGGACTACACCTAGCACAGGTAGCTCGGTTTGCTACCTGCACTGTGAGCTCAAAATTGAGCTCTGGGTGGAAGAAGCTCCAAGAAAGAGGCTGTGCAGACCCTTTGGAAAGGACATGGGGACCCATGTCACCAGCCAGGTGACCGGACACCTAGAGACACAGCAAGAGCCAAAGACCCTGACACTTTCATGCACTGAAACTCTGAGGGTATAAAAGCCCAAGGTTTCCCTTGTTCAGGGTCCCTCCTCAGAGGCACTCAGCTCAAGCTGTTATTTCTTTTGTGTAGTTATTGCACCAAGATCAAATTATTCTAAGGGTTTGGAAGTCTGAGACTCTGCTATGGGAAAACTGGGGTTGAGCTAGTGAGGAAATCTGGTCTGATTATGTGAGTGTGGGGTGTGTAGCTGTGAAGGGCCTAGCTCATGTGTTGAGAGTATGACTGCCAGAGAGGCTCCTGGATGGTTGGACAGGTTTCCTGAATACCTGCTTGACTTGAATTAAAAATTCAGGCAAAAAAGGCAGGCTTTTTTAGTAAGTATGGCATCCTTATTTTATTTGGAAATGTGCAAAGATTTCTGTAATTCATAATTAGGAATGATTAGTAAAATAACTTATAAAAAGAAGGACAACATAAATGACGAGTATCATGATCAGTGGCTGCTCTGGTTCTCGAATGGGTATCAAGTGGTCCAAGTGGCTACCATGACCCAGTGAACCACACACCAGGGTCCTGATACCCTCTGCTGCTACATGCTACAAAAGCCTTAGCTAGTACTTGCTGATTCCAAATCTTCCATCTCACCTGCACTCATATTAGGCTTAATAATGCTTGTGGATCTGTTCCAACTTAGGATAGTCTCTGATTTTGTTCTTACAGTTTTCAAATAGATCTTCCTGCTGTGGGAGGAGAGAACCATCAAGTCTTGCCTTTATGCAGGTGAACAATGACTGTGGGTGAAATTACAACTTTCAGGATCACTGCTCTCTCCTGAATGAATGTGTTGAGTTTGTTTCACATAAAATCTTAAGAAGTTTGTAACCTTTACAGTAGAGATAGTAGTGTTTCATTACCTACCAAAACAAGGAGTTCCACAGCTGTCCATCTAAAATAGAGACTGTGCGACTGACATGCTATGAAAGGAGAATGGAATAACAGAAAATACTAAATTGAGCTTTGTCCTCCTTTTCACTGGCCAGAGATATACTTCAGATTCATCACATGGTACTGGTAATGATGGGTTACATGTAAGAAAGTGCCAACTTGACTTCTATTGCAGTACTAAAAGTCTAATAAAGTCTAATGACAAGGTTTAAAAACATCTACAGGGGTTGAGAAACAACACAGATACAGAAGATAATGTGCTTCTCATATATATGCATAAGTATATGTAGCTTTATATACTTACATGCAAAACAGTGCATTTCTTCATAGCATGTTAAGTGTAGCTTAAAAATATATAACTCTGTGCATGCAAACTCAAAAACCTAACTTCCAACTATGAAACAAAAGCTTTCTCATCTTTGGTGAAGAATCCAACTCAATGAACATTTTACATATGTAAGTATGTAAGGATTCTCAGGTAATCCTTAAAGCCGTTAGGGGGTTAGTAGATGCACAAACAGAGTAAATGAATGTACACACCTGAATAGTCATCTGTTGTATAATCTTCTGTAGGGTCTTCAGCTGTACTAGAGCGCACTCTTTCCACTTTGGAAAAATCATTTCTTGGTGAGTAAGGCTGGATGGATGTTCCATACAGTACTAAGGACCACTCTTTCAACTTGCCTGGAAGTTAAGTATTATAAAACTGTTTTCAGTATTGCTTCTCTGTGTCGTACAAAAGCATGCCACTTTTAAGTTATGTTCTTATGAGCAGGTATGGAAGACACTGCTTTTCAAGTAAGTGCAATAGTTGTTTTACTATAAACTGAGAAAGCATATTTTCTTCAATCAGATCTTTACACTGTATTTTTATTGCACTCCAGTCTCTTGTAGGTCTAGCAAAGTTTGCACGATGAGGGCTGAACTCAATATAAATAATAAACAAAACATCTGGGCATACAGTTATTTGGAATATGTATATGGTGCTGCATAAGGTGGCTTTGCTTTCCCCTCAGAACACTATTAATTGTCCAGTAATTATTATTTGAGATCTTTCAGCTAAGTAACAGTATAGAATTCTGCCTTAAGAAAGGGATGACATTAGAGTACTCTCCATTGACTTTTAGGACACAACTTGATGAACAAGAAACACCTTCTCTTAAAATCTCCATGAAAGAACATCAGTGCCCCCTCAAACCAGCATAATTTCTAGTTTATTTCTGTCAGTTATTTGGCAGATATATCGCTGTACTGTCTGCAATCATCACTGGTATTTTATCCTCTTAATATTTAAGTGAAGACAGAAAAAATTGTCTGGTGACCTGATGCATTATCTGACTTTCTGCTACGTTTTTTGGGGGGAAGAATAAAGAGATTAAGGTGTATCAAGTCATCAGTTCATGATGTCAGAACATAAAGGGTGAACTTTCAGTCCCCACCTTCCTCTCTATAGTACCAGGTGAATAAATCTGGAGAAAGAGCAAAAGCACTCAGGCCTGAAATAGTGCCTAAAGTAAAGACACATAAAAACCACATCACTGCTTGAAAAGGTGCAACCTAAGTTTGGTATCAGCCCATCGTCTTGGTTATGTTAACCTGTGCTGGAATAGTTGGATGTAAATGTCAAATTTTCATTAGAACAAAGAGAAATCAGAGAAGCAGGGAAAATTTGAATGATCATGTTTTGGAGGCTGTTCAGTGGTTAAAACTCTTCGCAAGGGGTACTATTATTTAACAAGAAATGTAATCCAGGTATGACGCTTTTAAGAAAATAATGTAGTATACTTCATGTAAAATTAAATTCAAGCCATCTTCCTCTTCTCTCATTTTAATGATACTCAATAGCTTGAAACATTTTTTACTTGGATATCTTCAATCTGCAGAGTCAAATTAATTTGACCTTTACAAGTGATTCTCTGTATTTTCCCCCAATGTCAGCTGGTAGCCTCCACTGACGTAACAAAGACAAGCATCTCTCTGTTTCTACATGTATACTTCTAGCAGTATACATGTGTAACAGTATTCAGCAACAATAAGCAAAAACACTACCTGACAGATCATAACCAAATTCTTTTAAATAGTTTATACTAGAGCTGAATATGGGAATCTCTGTTATCTCTATGTCTTTTGTCAATACAATTAATCTTTCTGAGACAAAAATTTCTACATTTCATAAGAAAGCTTCTCCTTCTCTGTAATCAGTTTTTGAGTAGAAACTACAAACCAGAGACTGTATCATGGCAGTTGTGTCACACAATAGCTTTCAACTTTTCACATATGAATTATTACTTTCTTTGAAGAGACATTTGGTCTTGATTTAAAAAATTAACTGCTGATGAATCTACCACACCTGCTGCCAAAGTATCGGCTAATTACCTTAACAGAAAAACTGGATACTCTTTGTTTTCAATTTGTCTTTTCCTACCCATAGACATGTAACTCCCAAAGACCCATTGGATTAAAAAGACCCAAATAATGTATTTGCTTCCTCTAAAGACATGTGGGAATCACATTACATCTTGATGTTCCTTAGACTGATCAAACTGTATCCTTAATGGCACTTTTCATTTTAAAAAAGAAGTCACACAGGGAGATAATTTTTAACTAGATATGCAGGCATCTCTATAGCCCTATAAAAGATACAGCTTCTTCATGTCCAGTCCGTGCCTTTTTGTGTGTTTTAAACCACTTCTACAGCATAGAAACCATAATACATTGGGTGCAATTTTAAAAAATTGTGTTTTGCTAAGTTATTCAGATCTCTTTATTCTCTATGAGCCAAAATTCATTTAACTTCCTAAATTCTTCTATTTCTCCCAGAACACTGGTAAAAGTATTTGCAAGAACCTACTACAACAGGTAGAGATGCTCTTAAGGCATAGCATATTGTGTTTGCATTTTACAGATACAGAAGATCTTGTACTAACAGTGCAGGAAGGATTGTTACTCTGAATGCATATATAATGCAAAAGGGCAGCAAGGGGAATAATGTAGGGTCTCTCAAGAGATTAACTGCCTTTTAAGAATGGTTCAGTAAATAAGGAGGAGAAAAATTCATGTAACTTTCCAGCAAATAAACGAAGACTGCCTCAAGGCAGGTTTAATTTGCACAATGAAAATATTTCAATAGCTAAGTATATATACATACACGCACACTTTTATAATGAATAAACAAAGTATGCACATTTAAGCCAAAATCTTTCTTCCCCATTTTTGGTTGATTCCATCATTTAGTCTGGCTAGAATAATCCTTTCCCTGCTTGTATTTTGGATGTGTAACAAAGGTCTCATGTTGTATCTATAGAAGAAAGGGTATATCACAATGTTTCAGAGGAAACATATATCCACTCCCATAAACTCTACAGAATTAAATCTAGAAATCACATGCACCACTTTTATGAACTTGACTCTCCATTTGTTTTCAGGTAACAGATGTGGCATTACCTTGCCAGTGCAGGGATATGATGACACATTGGGTCTTTCTTTTAAATTTGATTACAGAAAAATGACAACTCTTAATTAAAAGACCTTTCAAGAGCTGAGCAAACACATGCACAGAACACAAACAAGAAACAGGCATGATGATGATATCAGTGTGATAAACTGCAAGCTATGGTGATAAACTGGAGGGGCACCATGAACTGGAGAGGCACCAGGCATAAATTATGTTTAAGCACCTTTTGTTTACTTGTTCTCTTCAGTGCAGAGACTAATCCCGATATGCCCAAACAGCTGAATTTATCCACCACTAATATAAGGCAGGCACTTCCAAATCTTTTTGAACAGAAGAGTTACTGGACAGCTTTCATCAGAGGGCAACCACTGCTCTAGAAAGATGGGGGATACATTACTAGACAGTATACAATGAACCAGGATCCAAATTCACAACCACACTGCATCTTGTGAAAACCAAATGCACATAAAAACCAAACTAGTCTCAAGCAGTGTTTCACATTGTGGTTAAAACAAAGTAGAGGATAAGCTCTCCAGCAGGATTCTTTCAGTAGATCAGCTTCCTCCACACCCCTTAGTTTTGCAGACCTACTTTCTCTCAATCTCCTAGCCTTACTGTGCCTTTTCTTCCAGAGCTGCATCTTTAGGCCTTTAGTTCTGATGGAGGAAAGGAAATCAGTTCCATTAGATTAGCTACTGTAGTGTTGAGAGAGTATAAATTATGTACTGAAATCAATAAACCTATACAACTATATGTGTAGTTGTAGTGTGCAGGAGTGTGCAGGAACAGGCCTTGAAGCGTAAAGCTGGAAATGTAGCATGCCAGTCTGAGACTGTCCTGAAGATGTAAAAGGCTTGTACAATATAGCTGCAGAATTGCCCAGATCAAAAGTTTGCAAAATGGCTCCATGCTACCTCTTTTTTAGTGCAAGATGTGTGTCAGGGAAGAGGGAAATCTGTTGCTCTGTGCTTGTCCTTCATGCCTGTTGGATGAACCAATGGGTTCCACTACACACAAAGGTGAAGAGCTACCCTAAGCTATCCTTCGCACCAGAGATGTTCCTGGATGTGTCAGGAATAACTAGTGTAAAATGGAGTTGAAAATACTTGATTTTTGTCTCTTTTCAGTAATCTGAATTACTTACTTGCTGCTTAATACCTCCTGTCTATCAAATTCTGAAGCACTGAAAATTAAAAAAAACCCCAAACACAAAACCTCCTCTTGAATCCCTGACCAATTTTATTTATACTCAATGGCTGCTTTTCCAAACACATTTAGTGAGTACCCCTTTTTAGTGTACTGGAAATTTTGCTTTTCATTTAGTGGTGCATTTAACACTGGGTAAGAACCTTTAATGCCTGGAAAACTATGGTGAGAAGTGATCAGCAGTGATAAAGTGAAATTTAAAACTCTGGCAATGTTGGTATTTCCTTTCAGAGCTCTCGGGGAAGATAATCAAAATTTTCAAAATGCTGTGCTTAAAGTTAACCACATGACTATACAGTTAACATTTAAATAACAGTGTAAAAGGTTACCAGAGTCTAGCAGATGCTTTCTGCTCAGAAATTTTGAAAATCATACTTTATCTTAGTCTTCATTAAGGACTTACCAACCACATATTGTGTAAAAGCTTTTCAAATTTTGGCTTATGATTGCTGGTTTACTATCCTAAAAAACTACTATGAGGTGGACAAATCATGTCAACTAGTGAGTCAGGCAACAAGACAGTAGATTTGATGGCTAGAAAAAGAACATTTTTTTTAAAAGTTGAGACTGGCTATCAGAACACAGCTAAAGTAGAGCAGAAATAAAGAACTAAAATTCTCATTCAATTCTATCAACAGTGATGGAGGCTGATCTGTATGTTACATTTTTTTGAGAGAAAATCATCTAAAAAACCCACAGAAAAAAGTTCCAAATAAAAGTGAAACATGAATCTTAAAAGATAAATAACAGTAGCATAAAAATGAAGGGTGCATTGAAAACTTAAATTTAGAATAATGATCTTTCCAGCTATGGCTTCACACTAAAACCAGAAAGATGTTCCAGCTGTAACTAAAAGGTGGAAAACAGCAAGCACTTTTCACACATAAAGAATTCACACAGCCCAAACAAATGTTAGAGTCCTACCTGGAGTCTTGAAATTTCTCAGCTGAGATGGAGTGTCACAGATTTCCAAGATCCAATCCCCTGCTGCTTTTTCACTCCAGCAATGAGTAGTCATAAACTCCCAGTTTTTGAATCCTTCCATGGAATGATCAAATAGCCTAAAACAAATGATGACATTATTTCAAGGCAAACTTTTTTTCCCCTGGGGAGCTATGCCTCCAAGAGTGCAAAATCTTGAATAATATACTAATCAGCTAGTTTGTTCTTCTGTTCCTTCATATAACATTATTCACTATGGTTTTCTCACATGTATTTCAAGCAAATTCAACAGTTATTTGTAGTTTGATGGAAGAGAGTCTTTACATGCCACCATGTTTTTATAATGAAAAAGAGAATGGTAAGCAAATTCATTGCAAAAATACCATAATTGCTTATACTATTTAATAGGATTTGTGGGTCTTGGAAAATCTTTGTATAATACAGAATTCCATTGCTTTAACAGCATGACATCAATATAAGTAACTTGTAAATTGGAAAATTTCAGTAACATTCGTTTTTTGCTTTGGATTAGAATAGTTAAAAGGGGTTTAAACCCAATAGAAAAAAGTTTAAGACAATAGCGATTCAATACATCACTTCTTGTAGGAAGTAGTATGTAACTGAGACATTGGCCTCAATCCTTGAACAACCAAGGTATCACCCCTTCAAACACATCACAGAATTCAGCTGGGGTAAAACTGAGAAACTAATGGCATCTGATGGTTTCACCTAACCAATACTGTTACCATAATTTAATTACTTAGGTAGTGGGTGAAGACATTAGAACTTAGGCCTGGATTATGATAATTTCTTATTATTATATTTATATTTATATTTTATTTATTATATTTATTATATTTTCTATATAGTAATTTCTATTTCAGATACAGCAATGTGATTGTGATCCCCTGTGAGAAAGGGAAGGGGGATCCTTCCTGTCAGAAGATTAGGAGATTAGATGCAAGAGAATATGCACTTTTATTTAGTTTTCATAGTGTTTGCTTGGTACCCCAAAATTATTGATAAGAATAGCACTCTAAGTAGGATTATTGCCTCCAATAACTTGAAAAAATACATATATAACTATATATTCACATGTATGTATTTTTATATATTTATGTATATATACACACAGAGATAAGTATGCATGTCAATTTATACATGCATTAAATTTGATCTTGGAGTGAAAACTCTACTAATAATAGCTTTGACTAAAAATTTTGAAAATACAAGAATCTCTACAGAATAAAACCCAATACATTGAAAATGCTTTTCCATAAAACAGAGAAAAACCTAGCATTAGATGACATAAACATTATATTTGAATTCCTGTGAATCTATTCTTTTCTAAGCTAATTTCAAGTTACACTCTCAAAAGGTTGTGAAGTTCAGTAAACAGAAAACAGGATACTTGTGTAGGTACATTCTGGATGAAAACTGCCACACTGGAAAGGAAAAAAATGCCATAGTTCTTGCCGGAAGCTTTGGTCAGTCAGAGGCATGGGGTCATGTACTGCGTGTCCTAGATTTCTTAGAAAATGTATGGGCCTACATGATTGATGCACTTCATAGAGCTCGGCCAAAACTTGATTTTCAAGCTCTCTCTACGAACATAAAATCACAGGATTACAGAATAGCCTGAGTTGTGAAGGATCGTCAAAATTCAACTCCTGGCACTACTAGCTACTGAAAAGCCTAAGGCCTAGTTTAAAATTGATATGACACCCTTCACAGATTCAACTTAGCCCTAGACACAATGAAAACATAGCTTGCATTCTTAGATAGAACAGATGGGATTATTCAGGTAAACAGAAAATGCTCTATACATAGGATTTAGGTAAAACTGACACTGCTTTTGTGAATTAAGAATTAAGCTTAGATTGGTGTAGAAAAAATGTTTTAGAATCATGTTTTTAACTGATTGGATGATTTGCGGATTTAATGACCTGCACTGGGGATCACACACATGCAAACACACACACACACCACCCAAAGAAGAACAGCAGCACCATCATCACCACCATCTGCTTCTGTGGCCAGGGACAACAGAACTCCACGCTGAGAAGCTGCTGCCCAGAACATCGGGACTTTATACCAGAGAGCTGCTGCTCAGAATTCATGACTTTATACCAAAAGCTTTTAGCAAGGACTGTAACTTTCCGAACTCTCTGCTTTTGAGACTGATGCTTTTATACAATAAATATCTTTCTAGCAACCAACAACTGCTCATGTCTCCTTGAGACCTGAAAAACCCCTTGGATCCCCACTGAAGAGTTGGCAAATAGTCAAGTCAAATTAGACAGAAAGAAATCTTAGACCAAATTAGTCAGACCTAAACATAGTAAAACTTAACTATACTTAATTCTATTAAGATACACTTATTATTAAGACACACTTATTTCTATTAATTGCACATTTGTTGAGGGTTAGGTGTCCTTTTTTTTTGTTTTGTCCTTCTGGCCTGCCCGGGGAATTTTTACCCATTATGTGCTGGGATAACCTAACTACCGGTACGTAGGGGTGCTCGACAAAGGACAATGAGTGGCCGGGCCCAGGGCGGGGAAGGGGGCAGAAAAGGAGGGTGGGGACAGTTTTTGGGCTGCTTCTTCTTTGGTTTTCGGGGAAGGACGTTCGTGTGCTGGGTCACGGAGCTGCTGCGGTAGAGAGAAGGGAATTTTGCCATCACCCAGACGGAGCGGCTGCTTCTTCTCCTTCTCCCCTCTTTGTTGGCGGCCTCGCACCCCCTGCCCTGCCAGGACGTGTGTGCCAGCCACCGCCGCAGAGCTGCTGATCCACCTCAGCCACCGGCCCAGGATCTCAGCTCATCCCTGCTGCTCCACCTCAGCCACCAGCCCAGGATCTCAGCTCATCCCTCTGCTGATCCACCTCAGCCACCAGCCCAGGATCTCAGCTCATCCCTGCTGATACACCTCAGCCACCAGCCCAGGATCTCAGCTCATCCCTGCTGATACACCTCATCCACCGGCCCAGGATCTCAGCTCATCCCTGCTGTTCCAGCCGACTGTTCCTCGGAGCCCTGCAGGAGCACCGGGACTGCCTGCCCGAGGGGTTTGTGAAACAAAGCCTCTCCTCCATCCCTTCCTGTCTCAGCCGAGAAAAGCTGTCACGGGGCCCCTGGTTCTGTTTTCTTGCTATTACTGTAGTTATTGTTGTTTGTTTGCCTGGTTATACCAGTAAAGAACTGTTATTCCTATCCCCAGATCTCTGCCTGAAAGCCCCTTGATTTCAAATTTATAATAATTCGGAGGGAGGGGGTCTACATTCTTTCATCCCAAGGGAGGCTCCTGCTCTCCCCAGCAGACACCTGTCTTCTAGAACCAAGACAACATTACAGCCCCAAGAATTACACCATGTCTCTGAGAGCGCTGTCCATACAACTCTTGGCTCTGTCAGGCTTGGTACTGTGACCACTTCACTGTTCCAGTGCCCAGCCATACCAGGAGAGGAACCTTTTCCTAATATACAGCCTAACTCCCCTGACACAACTTCAGACCATTCCCTCAGATCCTGTCACTGGTCACCAGGGAGGAGATTGGTGCCTGCTCTTTGGCTTCCCCTCATAAGGAAGACATAGATTGTGATGAGGTCTCCCCTTAGCATCCTCCAGGCTGAGTATGACAAGTGACCTCAGCCACTCCATGTATGGCTTATCCATTCAGACCATTCACCATCTTTGCAGCCTCCTCTGGACACTCCCTAATAGCTTCTTGCATTGTGGCACCCAAAACTTCCCAGCACTCGAGCTGAGGCTGCCCCAGGGCAGAGCAGAGCAGAGGAGGACAATCCCCTCCCTTGCCTGGCTGGAGATGCTGGCCCTGATGCCCCCCAGGGCACGCTTGGCCCTCCTGGCTGCCAGGGCACTGCTGGCTCCTCCTGTTCAACTTGTCATTCATTTTGGTCTACATTTTCCCATTTTAAATGAATACCTATAATAGTAGTCTACTTTACTAGCACTTATAAAATTAAATTAAAATATACATTTGGATTAATTTTCACTGATAATTGTATGAGACTTTCTTCTGATACAGTTCTGTGCTTCTGTGTGTGTGCCTGTAAATATGTATGTAGATATATTTTGGCAGCAGAATGGGCCTGCTCCATGTCATTGTTACATCAGTTGTATGAATACAGGAAATCTCACAAAGGCATGGCACTTTTATATTTACTGAAACAGTAGAAATTATTACACAGTCATTACCCAGAATTTGCATGCAAGTATGTTCAATTTAAGTCATGTAGGTTATTTACAACAGTTTTCAAATTGCCATGCTGTTGTTTTCTGATAGCTAATGTATTACTTTCTAAACATGCTGTCAATGCAACAAGGCACCAGTATTAATGTTTGCCACTGTAGCAACTAAATTATATAGTATTATACAAGTTCTGTGCAATTAGGAATTTTGTATTCACTGAGCTCCTATTCATATACATTTGAAACATGAGTTTCTTTTAATTTTAGACTATATTGTCTATATATATGTCTGTATATTTTAGACTATATTTAGACTGTAATTAGTCTGATATTTCCCATAGGACTTTTTGTATAACTAGGTATTTCCTGTTTTGAAATTTTAAATTGCTGTCAGGTTTCCATTTTAATAATTCTTTTGAGTAATTTTGGGTGGAAGACACAAAAATCCCACATATCATGTTTTTAAAAGCACTCTTACCCAATATATGCTGTGACTGAAACTGTAAGCTTCCACCCATGGAAATGGGGAAAATCTGGTAATATTATTTTTGAGAAAATGGACCATTTTTTAAGAGAATACTTCCTTGGGAGAGATTTGAATTTCATAAAACAAGTTCTAAATTGGAATCTTGGAATGTAGGAACTGTGTTTCCACAAAAGATTCCACAAACAAGTCAAAAAGCTACAGACAGGTCAAAAGGATAGTGAAAAACAAAGTAGAAACATACTGACTCTGAGTCTGTGTAGGTATTTTGGACATACAAAATGGTCCAAGTACTTTTGCTTTGCTTTGTTTATAAACTAAACTCTCAAATTGAAGAATCCATGAGGCAATAGAGGGATTTCACTTCAAGTGGTGTTAAATAAATGAATGAAATTATCTAATGTTCAGCTGTACAGAACAGC